TCTGTATTATCTAGAATGCACTCATTAGTATTAGAATTAACAACTGAAATCGGAACAGACTCACCTGGTTCCTGGAATTGTATTTGATCAACATATAGATTGTGTGTACTTAAGTCATTGATATCTAGAAGTCGCACCATAGATTTCCCGACATTCTTCAAAACAATCACCGTGGATGGTCGAAGATCATTGCCACGATAATACGTAACTTCTGCGGACTCCAAACATCTCATATTCGACCGAAGAGTTCTTCCTTTTAATAGTTTTGATGGAGTCTCTTTCGTCACCGAATGTCTGGCATTTCTATGTTGCAGTAGAAAGGTATCTACTCCCCTCTCCAGCTCATTAAATGTTGAGGCAGCAATAGAATCAATGGCAGTTTTTAACGTCCCGACAAAATTTTCTGCCTGACCATTGGAACAAGGATGTCTGGGAGCAGTAAACAGATGTTTGCACCCCATACCATTTAACCAGGTAGTGACTGCATCTGCAGCAAAATGAGATCCGTTATCAGTCACTAACACCATTGGAACCCCTTCTCGACTAAACACCTTTCTTAATGCTTGAATTGTGAAGTCAGAATTTGGTGAAGTTGTGAAAAAAACTTCAGGCTACTTTGAAAAAGAATCAATAACTACAAGTGCATATTATTTGCCAAGAAACGGACCACAATAGTCTGCATGAACTCTCTGCCAGGCCTCAGACGATACTGGCCATGGAGTCCACTTCGAATGCTGATTTTTCAGCTTATGACACTTTTCACAATTGTTTGCTGTACGACAAATATCTGCATTTATCTCTGGCCGCCAACATGTGAGCCTCGCCAAGGACTTCATTTTTTCAACAACTAAATGTCCACTATGAAGATCTTCTAGGACAGATTTACGCAATGAAGGAGGAATAACAACACGATCATTTAAACACAAAATACCATCAGGAGTTGTAGATAGCTCATCCCGCTTTGAAAAATAGATAGGAAATCTACGTTTCAGATTAGCATTCCAACCTTTCCGTATAGCATTAATTATACATCCAGAGTATTTACGAGTTTCTCTAATGAGATCTGGACGTTTCACTGGTAAAGATTGCACTAACAAACAGTCTGAAGTATTTACAGGTTTATCTTGTAATGACTGTCGAGAAATGTCGTCAACATGTTGAATTCGTTTGACACTCCTGTGCTGAACCGTATAGTCATAGGCACTCAAAGCAATACTCCATCGTTGAACCATAACAGCTGAGGAACGTGCTAAGGATTTTTCAGGATGATAAATAAACTTTAAAGCCTAATGATCAGTAACAATAGTGAATTTCTTTCCGAATAAATATTTATAAAGTCTTTTAACAGCCCAATACACAGCTAATGCTTCTCGCTGAGTCTGTGAATAACCTTGTTCAGTAACAGTAAGTTTGCGTGAAACACAAATAACTGGTCTACCCTCCTGTTCCAAAACTGCGCCAATACCCACAGGTGATGCATCAGTGAAAAGCACAGACTGTACACTAGGGGAGTAAGTTCGAAGAACAGCATCACTTTGAAGAAACTTTAGTAGACTACGTAAGCATGACTCTTGTTCCTCACCCCATTTAAATGAATTGGATGTCAAAATATTAAATAAACAATTCGCACGACAGGAAAAATTAGGAATAAAACGGGAATAGTATTGAAGAGCAGCCACTAGTGGACGTCATTCCGTAAGATTTTTTGGAGACGGTGCATTTGTCAGTAGAGCTAGTCGTTTCATATCTGGTCTAAAACCATTACCATCAACTAGGTATCCAAGACATTCGAAATTAGATACACAAAATGAACACTTATTTGGATTCACCGTAATATTCTTCTCAAATAAACGACGCAATAAAGCAATAAGTCTCTGGTTATGAACTACCTTATCAGAACCATAGACAATGAGATCATCTTGATAAACTTCAACGCCCTCAAGATCACTAACTACATTATTCATGACTTCCTGAAATATAGCTGGAGAACAACTTAGATCAAATGGAAGGAAATTGTATTTGAACAGACCAAAAGGAGTGTTAATTGTCGTCAAAATGGATGAGGATTGATCTAAAGGGATTTGAAGATAAGCATCTTTTAGGTCGACTTTCGAGAACACTTTAGAACCATGAAGTCGATTTAGAATACCTTCAGCCTCTACCGTCGTGCACGTTTGCTTCAACAAACGGGAATTCAGTGTTAATCTATAGTCACCACATATTCTAGGGGTTTCGCCATCCGACTTCAGTGGTGTAACAATAGGAGTACCCCATGTTGAGGACTGGATCGGTTCAATTATGCCTTTCGCACACAAATCGTTTAATATTTTATGTACTGCCTCTCGAAGACCATAAGGAATTATTCTTCCTTTAAGAAAGACTGGTTCACCCTGTACTTGAAGTTTTATAGGCTGAATCTTCATACCTCCACTGCACTTAGCACACGTAGATATCAAATCTTTAAGTAAAGCATCATTATTTTCTTTAGAAACTAGGAAAGACAGCTCCACTTTAAGCCTTTTTAAATTCCTTAAGCCCAGTATTGACAGTCCTGTTTCTCTAACTAAAAATTCACAAGGTATGTATGAAGAATTATCATCTCTTATTAGCAATTCACAACATCCTCGTATAGGCAGTCTGTGTCCAGTAATCTCCAATATTGATACTTCAGTGGGTAGTACCACAACGTTAGGATCTAAAGATTTCAAGTTCTTGAATGAAATAATGGACTCTATACTGCCTATGTCAACAATAAAGTCATGACATGAACCAAGCGATGTATGTAATCGCTTTCGAATATGAGCATTACCTTTCGAAACAGTAGACAAAGATAAATGATCATCACGAACAGCTGAATTATTGGGATCTAGATTACAAGATTTAGTACTACTTGAGGCAAAATGAATAGTAGCTTTGCATACTGATTGAATGTGTCCTATCTTACCACATCTAAAACATTTAGCATTACGAAATGCACATGAATTACGAGAATGAATTTTTCCACATGATAAACATTTGCCAAACTTGGTCTCACCTTTGTGATTTCCATTGTAATTCCTTGTTGAGATATCTTTCATATTTACACGAGAATAGGAACCACTGTTAAACGAACGCAATTTCGATTGACCCTGAGATTGTATTTCATCATGACGACTAAGCAAAGTATTAGAAATATTCATCGACTGGATATCAAGTTCATTCACTGCCTCGTAGTTAATACACGCAGTTCTAGCATCTTGAAAGAAACAGTTCGGCATTCTTAACAGCTCTCTTTCCAAACCCGGCAAGTTAATTCTTGCAATTAATCGATCTCTCAGTTGCACATGAAGTTGATCACCAAAATTACATTTGGCAGCTTGTTTCTGCAATTCAAGAATGAATTCCTTAACCTTTTGGTCATTTCGACGAGTCATCTTATGAAATTTCGCCCTTTCACGGCATTCAAAACGAGTGCACTTTACATGATTTAATAATAACTCCTTAATAGTTGCATAAGGAAGTGAGATAGGTTTTTCTGGATATGCCAAAGTTTTCAATAAGCTGTATGCTTCTCTTCCGATGAATATCAAGAAATGTGCCACAATCTTATCATCCTTAACATCCTTCTTGGTCATGCTCCAAATTTCAAACCTTTCCAAATAATCCTCAAAAGCTTCAGAAGTTGGATGAATATCTAACTGTTCCATCGCAGGCTCCATCGCGACGCCAATATCATAATTAGGAGTAATTGAATTATAGTATGAACTAAGAATCCCAGGGATAACGCAATTGAATCAAGAAGTACTACACAATCACTAACGAATGTACTGTATTTAGAATTGGAAATCAAACATTCAACAAGTACAACGGAGTCATTAGTTCATTCAAACACCACAGTTCACTACTATCTCTACCGCCACCACATCACCTGATTATATTTTCTTAACGATACAACCTCTCTTTACTCCACAGGTGTGACGTCAACGATAATTGCTGAACAGCATGAAGTATATAATCTCCGCGGTCACAGCAAGAATGTTCACAAACCGCAATCTAATAAGCTTGAAGTGGGGTCCCGTTTTTATCATCGAGTAGTCAATGTCTATCTGCGACATGTTACGGACTACATTTACAGCTTAATAAACTGCTCTCTAGGTTTAGGAATCCTGTTACTCTACGACTTGAAGTCTTACGCTAACTGTGACAAAAATACCTTTCGAGCAAAACTTGCACTGGTAACACTGAATCGCATTTTTGGTCAGTTTAACGGAATAACCTTCCACATAATCTTCAACAGTTTTATTCGTCTCCATTTAGAGTACGGAAACATAGTATGTCCTCCTTCAGTCCAAAAGGATCAGGACACTCTGGAACGTATTCAACGGCAAGCCACGAAATCAGTCCTGGGACTCAAATTCAAGCATTATGAAGAGCGCCTCCATTCACTAAACTTTTACCCATTAGAGTATAGGCGTCTTAGAGGTGACCTTCTGATGACTCACACTTCAGGACATCCCCTTAAACACCTAGTTTAGCTTAGTCCCAATACAAATTTAGGGGGTAACACCCAGAGATTGGAGATACAATATAGCATAACGGACTGTAGACACAACTTCTACTTAAGAGCCGTCAAATGCTGGAATTCGCTGCCGAAAGAACTAGTTCAAGTGAACTCCTAAGAGTCCTTTAAGAGGCGACTTGACCTATTCATAAGGACTAAGGATAACATCTTATTATGAGTTACCAACTTATTTTTTTCCCCTTTTATCGTTAATATATCTAGGTTCCTGCCTGGAGGTATTGGTGATCTCCTGCTACTAGACACGGAAGCATGCTAATCGAAAGCTTATTCTATTCCGTCCATAACCATTTGAACAATTCAATGAAGTTTCGAAGAAGTTACAGTTTGTTGTTTTGAAGGTCATACTACACTTCTGTCGTATATACGGCGTTTAAAGTTCATCCACGCTTACCGTTTTGATTTATCCCACTGATTTGTATAATAAACCTTTGCAGTTTTAATGGGTGTGGGAAAGGGGATCAAACGCCAACAAAACGGTGTTCAGTTCACATTAGATTTGAAAGTGAAAGAGCAAATGGAACGAGACCAACTTTTTCTTTGGAAATCACCCTTACTTACACTGTATTATTTCTTCTTGGAGTGTATATTCAGATTCGCCCAGCTGCGTTTTACTGTTTTGCAAAACAAGACCAGATGTGTTTTTGCTGTCAGCATAATTTTATTACTGGTTTTTTTGGACTACTTCGAAGGTCCTCATTCTCATGTAAGCTGCTAATCTAGTTCCGTTATCTTTAGACTTTTGGCCGCATGAAATCTACTTTCTTATGGTGGTTGTGGTGGGTTTGGCTTGGATTTCTATCATCATGTGGATTTGGAACTGGTCTACACACTTTTGTTTTGTATCTAGTAGGTTGATTTTTATTAAACAATAAACTTATTGACAGGGTCCGTTTATAGCTGAAGTCACAATGAGTGCATATGAGTGTAAAACACTTGATTTTCCTCGTCCGCCTTATCCGGATAGGATTGTATGTCCGGATAATCCAAATCCATTTGAAAAAATCACATTTTGGAGAATTATGCGGAAAGTGCAAATTGAGTCAATCATGTGGGTATGTTGACGAGGTGATAATGAATTGGTCGGTTTTGACCCCTTATTTACGTTTCGATGCTCTCAATTTTTGTTTAACACCTAATCGTTTTTTGTCTCTGAAGGACCAGTAACTGAATGCTTTTTTAGTGTTGAAGTCAGATTAAAATTTAGATTTACTAATCGTATGTCGCATTATTGATTGTATATGTGATCTTGGACATTTTGTTCAGAGCTCTGAAAGTATGGATGATTACAGTACTCAAAAAAATTTCAACATCCGCCCAACAGTTGGTGTCATTCAGTCAGCTACAACGCAGGACCAGGCACATATATGCATCGGTCTACCACATAAGCATAACAAGATGAACACCAAATTTATAGAAATAGTTACCTTAATGATAGTAATGTATAAAAGAAAATTTGTGTAAGGATATAATACAGGAAGAAAGAATTAGTTCGTAGAAATAAAAGTACAAAGCAATTTTAGTCTCACGGTTTAAGGGAAGTTAAGGAGTGTATACATCTTCACCATTAAGGTTGATCCTGAGCCATGTCACCCAGAGTCTCCACCAATTAGTTACGATGATCATACGAACCCCAACCAAGTAGTTTGCATCTACCAACATGGTTCAGACCAGAAGTTAGTGACTTTATAGGCCGATGTCACGTTTTGGTTTGGCCGCCCCCAACTTTCTTCTAATCATTCCCAACACTAGTCAGCATTGCGCGTCGTGGTGACCGGTGTTTAGGCATACGTAACACGTGGCACAACCATCTTAGTTGATGAAGATTCACAACCTCATCAACTGACTTACCATCATTCCCTAATACCTTGCGTCTAACCTCACTATTACTTACCCGGTAATCCCAGCACTTGCAAGCAATATTTCTAAGAAATCTGTGATCAAATGCTAGTAAATTATGAGTATCTTCTACTCTTAATGCCCACGTATCGCAGCCGTTAAGTAGAACAGGAAGAACTGCTGTGCAGTATACTCGTCCCTCAATTGATAGACGGATATCTCTACTTCGCCATATGTGACGTAAGTTGGCAAAAACCAAACAAGCTTTTCGAATCCGTATAGAGATTTCATCAGACACCAACCCATTAGGGCTGATCAGACTTCCAAGATAAGGGAAGTTGTCGACGCGTTCGACTACTTCACTCCCTATCCTTAGTTCAGGTGTTGACGCAGGCCAGTCCTGAATCAACAACTTGCATCTAGAGGGGAAGAAGCGCATACCAAAAATTCTGGCTTTGTTGCTCGGTGCTATCAAAAGGCTCTACATTTAATCAGCGTCTTCACCAAACAGGACTATGTCATCTGCGTATTATAAGTCGATAAGTGGACCTCATGGAAGATGAATTCCTGAAAATCCAATCAACGTGAACGTTATTTCCAACCTAAGGTTATGATTTAGACATAATCAGTCCATTAAGCTGAAGTATTTAGTCAGAAGTGTATTAATGGTAGTCATAAGTTTTTTACACTTAGTTGCCGCTGCTTATTTTTATTTTTGTTTGACCACCCTATTTCCAGATCCAAAGCTTTTGAATTGTTCACAAACTGATGATTAGGTTTCTCCACACCTTAGAATTGTGTGACGAATAGTCCTTCGTTTAACCAACGGAGTAGTAATCGGTCACCTCATGCATTTGTTTAATTCATTAGACAGTTATTTGTGACTTTACGTTTGGGATAGTCCCTTTTAGAATATAGTCGGGATACCTTTGTTTCTCAGAGTACTTGCAATGTAAGAAGAAAGTTTTGTAGTGCCTCATCGACAGTCCTCACCAATCTACTTCTCGTGTCAATTGGATTCAAGTTACTGTCTTACACGAATTCCCTATCCTAAAACATTTTAGTTCAAAATTTTTAAGGCGGATACAACCAACGAATTACGTTCTTCTCCTATCCCAAACACGTATCTTAGTCTGCATTCTTATTCAGGGAGGTTTGTGAGTTTACTGGCTCAAGCACTAGGCATTTGATTATCAGGTCTCGATTAAGAGACGTTTTAATGTAACAATATTCAACGATTCATGAAAACTAATATCTCCGTGAAATGTTTATTCAAAATTTTTTGATTATAAGTCAGGTAATAAACTCAATTATTCTATGTAGTTTGTCACCATATATTAATGATAATCTTCCTATACTACTTAGTAAATGTACAAGTAATGATCAGTTCGCTGGATTTAATCCGGCAGTCATGTAGCAGTTTCCCTTAGTTAAATTTTCCGCTTGTGAACTTAGTCGCATCTAGTACCATTTGGAGATCATTAAGGTGTAGATTCTAAGGTATTACTATCTCCTTGTTCAAAAGTTGTCACAGTGAAGCTCTAATTGCATGAATTGGGCTGCAATATGTCTTCAAATTATAAAGTATAATGATTTATTATTTATTTATTTATTTTAACACATAGATATTGATACAAGGAGACACCAAATACATATGTGCCACACAGATCTCATTTGATATATGTAAGGGCTGTGATACTGCCCGGGTGCCCAAACCGAAGCAGGTGGTTTTCTTAGGGGGCCACACCCCGAGCCTTTGACCTGAAGATCTGATCCACAAGGCAGTGGGGCATCGTGAGGAGATGCAGTCCCATGGTAGCCGGTGACCAACGACTGGTTCATACGCCATTTGTTCCTTCAGGATACTGGAGCCCATGTGCACCATTGATTTGGGATCCGGTTATAGCGCCGGACATTCGCTTTTCGTCCTCTTATTTTCGTAAACAACACCCGTGGTACGAGAAGGCAGTGAGTAGGACTTCCCTGGCAGAGGTTGTACACGCGTGGCCATGTGAGAGCATTTCGAGAGGGAGATCGGACTCTCCCCACTCTCAGCCATACCAGGGCGTTTGGGGGCAAGTATAATGCTGGGAGTCGACTGACTGGCTCGTTGGAGTCGAAAGTGATCACCAAGGTTTTCCAGAAAATGTTTGACTTGCAATCATTTATTTCCTTCAAAATTATCAAGACTAGGATCACCATCTGGTTATTATTAGGATTTATTATATAGCATTTTACCCTAAAAGCTGTTCTTAGATGTTCTTAAAACTTACATCATTTCTTGGAAGGAACTCCTTTCATTCAATATCGTCTTGAAGGTCCGTAATTTTCCTCACTAATCAGTTTCTCAAATGAATTTTTAGCTGAGTCATTTTCTTGTGTAATAATTTATAAAGAGCTTAGTTGTCAGAAAATCGGGACTTTATTATCCAAACGAAGTTTGAGTGCATTGGCCGGCTCTTGGCTAATAAACCATGTCATGTTATAAAGACATCCAAATATATCTGCACATTAATTTATATTCTGGTTTTGTAACTACATACATTTTCAAAATACCGGGCTTTATGTTGATTAGTTTTCGTTGGTAGGTTACCTATTAAGTTTCAATTAATCGTGTATATTTCCTTAGTCGTGTTTGTAGTTTTAAGTTTTTCACGCTCTATTTGGCTATATTGGTAAACTTTATCGCGAACGTTGCTGCCACCTTGGCGTGGTAGTCAGGCTCGCCTGTCGTGATAAACCAATTGGGCTATGCTGGCTGCAGCTGCATCTGGTAACTACCGGAAGCTCTTCCAACTCATCCGAGTCACTGGCAACAAGAAATCTGGCGTGAGCGAAACAATCTGTGAGGATGACGGGATGCCGATCACTAGCATCCATCGACGTCTTGGACGATGGGCAGAATTTTTCGAAGGGCAGTTTAACTGACCTGCTGCTCCGGCAACGTCGATCAGACTGTCGTGCCCTTCATGACCGGTGACGACTGATCCACCAAACGAGGCGGAAGTCCGCAAGGAACTCCAACTCTTGAAACGTTACAAATCACCGGGCCCAGACGACTTACCTCCGGCTCTTTTTAAAGATGGTGGTGACTTTCTGACTAAGGGACTGGCGACGTTGTTTGCAAAGGTCTGGGAACCAGAGAGTGTACCAACGTCATGGAATGAGTCGATAGTTGTCCCTATCTTTAAAAAGGGTTCACGTTGTTCCTGTAACAACTATCGGGGGATAAGTCTACTCTCGATTGCGTCCAAGCTACTGGCTTCCGTTATACTACGTAGGTTGTTCAAAACCCGAGAAGGACTGACTCGCGAGGAGCAGGCTGGTTTTCGTTCCGGTCGAGGATGTATTGATCATATCTTCACCCTCCGCCAAATGTTAGCACACAGTCATACCTATCACAGGCCAACAAACGTAGTGTTTCTTGATATCAGGGCTGCCTTCGATTCGTTGGACAGAACTGTTCTCTGGGATTGTCTATTGAAGAAGGGTGTGCCTGAGAAGTTTATTAACATCCTAACAGCCCAATACACAAACACCTCAGGCAGAGTGAGTGCATACAATCACCTCTCTCCACTATTCCATTCGAGCAGTGGGGTTAGGCAGGGTTGCCCAATCTCACCATTCCTCTTCAACTTTGTCATCGATGATATTCTGGAAACAGCTCTGATGGATGTAGGTAATGGCGGTGTGATTCTATTCTCTGGAGAAAGATTTCTCGACCTTGAGTACGCGGATGATATTGTCCTAGTGGGCGAAAATGCTCAAGCCATGCAATCCGCACTTAATCAGTTGGCAATCAGTGTCCGTAGGTATGGTATGTGTTTTTGTAACTTTGAAGTGCAAAGTATTTCAACAAGACTGGCAGGATTCTAATCATTTACTCACCTTGGGTGGTGAGCTGATAGAAGTAGTCGAGAAGTTCATGTATCTAGGTGGCTGTATAACAGCAAGTCTTTTGAAGCGACGTATGGAGAACGAATTTTCAGTACTTCACCAGAGTCGATATTAAGACTTTCTAAAGACATAGTCAGCCCTATCTGTTGTCCGATTTGCATTATTGTGCGAACGTTGAAGGAAGCCAGTTCAAATGGTGCACTTGTTTTCAGAGAAACTGTCTCAGTATTCGTATTTGATGGTTGCATTCAACTTTCAACGAGGCAGTGACTCAAGATCATCTAGATAGAGCCGAGTTTTCACCATAGGCGAGCTGCTG